CCAGGCAGAAGCTTTTAATTTGATGAGGTCCCATTTGTTTATTCTTTCCTTTATGTCTCTTGCTTTAGGGGACAGTTTTATTTTAAATTACTGCTTCAGTTTCATCAGTTGTAATTGGTCTATTCAGGTTTTCCTACTCTTCTTGTTCATTTTTGAAAGATTGCATGTTTCTAGGAATTTATCCATTTCATCAAGATTGTCCAATTTATTTGCATATAGTTGTTTGTAATATTTTCTTACATTGTTTCATATTTCTTTGGTGTCAGTTGTTACCTTTTCTTTTTCTGATTTTATTTATTTGGGTTCTCTCTCTCAGTGTGGTTAAAGGTTTGTCAATTTTGTGTATCTTTTCAAAGAACTACCTCTCAGTTTCATTGATTTTTTTGTGTTATTTGCAGAGTATCTTCCTTTTGTATCTGCTCTGATCCTTAGTATTTCCTTTTCTACTCACTTTGGGCTTTGTTGCTTAAGTGTAAAGTTAGAATGCTTGTTTCAGAATTTCCTTGTTTTCTTAGGTAGGCCTCTAAAGGTATGAATTTTTCCTTCTAGGACTAATTTTGCTGTATCTCATTGATTTTGGTTTGCTGTATTCTCTTTTTAATTTTTTCAAGGTATCCTTTGATTTCTTTCTTGATTTCATTGTTAACCTATTTATTGTTCAGTAACATGTTATTTAGCCTCTATGTCTTTTTGTGTTTTTCAGTGTTCTTGTGATTAGTGTCTAGTTTTATACCATTGTGGTCAGAGAAGATGCTTGATATGATTTTACTCTCCTTAAATTTATTGAGACTTGTGTTATGGCCTAACGTGTTTTATCCTAGATGTTCCATGTGAACTTGAAAAAATGTATATTCTGCTGCTATGGAGTGAAATGCTGTGAAGATATCAATTAAATACATCTGATTTAGTGTGTCATTTACGACTGCCATTTCCTTCTTCATATTCTGTCTGGAATATATATTCATTGATGTCAATGGGTTGTTAAAATTCCCTACTATGACTGTATTACTGTCAATCTCTTCCTTTATGTCAATCAAGATTTGCTTTATAATTTTAGGTGCTCCTATGTTGGGTGCATAAGTTTTATAATAGTCATATCCTCTTGTTGTATTGACCCCTTTATCATCATGTGGTATCCTTCTTTATCTCTTATTATAGCCTTTGTTTCAAAGTCTATTTTGGGAACTCCCTTGTAGATAATAAACTGTCTTTTGCAGCTTTTATGATTCCTTTTTTGTCCTTGATCTTTGACATTTTAATTATGATGTGTCTTGTTGTAGGCCTCTTTGGGACCATCTTGACTGGGACTCTGCACTTCCTGGAATTGTGTGTCTTTTCCTTTAACAAGTTATGGAAGTTTTGGTCATTATTTCTTCAAATAGGTTTTCAATCCTTTTCTCTTTCTCTTCTTTTTTTGGTACCCTTCTGATACAGATGTTATTATGCTTCATGTTGTCCCAATGGTCTCTTAAAGTATCCTCATTAATTTTTTTTTCTTTTTACTGTTCTGATGGGGTGTTTTTTCCTACCTTGTCTTCCAAATTTCTGATCAATCTTTTGCTTTATCCAACTACTTTTTATTTCATCCAGTGTCTTCTTCATTTCATATATTATATTCTTCATCCTGATTGGCTCTTTTTAATGGTTTTTATGTTTTTTTCATGCTGTTGAGCATCTTTTTAACCATTACTTTAAATTACTTGCCTCCATTTCATTTAGCCTTTTTTTTTTTCTGGAGATTTCTCCTGTTTTTTTTTTTTTTTCATTTGTGTCCTTTCTCCTTGTCTCCTCATTTTGACTGCCTCTTTGTGTTTGTTTCTATGTATTAAATAGATTTGCTATGACTCCCATTCTTCATGGAATGACTTCATGTAGTAGGTGTCCTCTGGGGTCCAGTGGTACAGTCTCTTTGGTCTCCTGAGCTGGATACTCCAGGAATCACCCTTGTGTGGGTTATATGGGCCCTCCTGTTGTAACTGAGTCTTGATTGCTATTAGCCCCTTCATGCATGAGACTGACCCTCAGTCTGGCTGACTGTGAGGTTGAATTCTGATTGGCATGTGTACTGCTGTGCAGATGCTGACCACAAAAAATGGAATTAACCACAGCAAGATTTGGTGCCTGCTAAATTCATCCTTTGGATATTCTGCTTTTGAAGCTTATTGGATCCTGCTCTAATGTTTTCTGAAGCTGGCCACGGAGTGTATTGGTTCTGGTTCTCTTAGGTACAGTTCAGTGTAAGGCACTACCTGTGTTTTGCCCTTAGCAACCTGTTTGGAGCTACAAGTGATCCACCATTTATGGTTGTCTCTGTTGGGTCTTAATGTACACAGAAAAGACCAAACTGCACACCAAGGCTGGCTTTTACCAATGTTGGACCTGGTGTAGGTCAGCAAAAGTCTCAAGGCACCCTGAGGTGATTTGCTTTTACCTGCCTTCTCCTGCCAGTTGCCTATTAGACTCAGTCACCAAAAGAGCCTCTGGCATACTCCTCAGCATAGCATTAGCTTGACAGGGTGGAGCAACTGGTAGTCCAGAGGGTGGACTATTGCTTTCCCACAGCCTGATTATGCATGGAGGGGAGTGTGTTACCCTAGAAAGATGGTCTCTGCTGGGAAAATGACTCAGTACAGAGTTCCTGGTGGCTGTTCCTTCAGCCCCCTCTCCAGAGCCACAGACCACACTCTGTCCTCTTGCAACTCTAGTCTGCTTTCCCCTTCTTCTGTAGACTCCCAGGGTGAGTTACCATGAATGGAATTTTGTGTGTTGGCTCTTTGACAGGGTGCCTGTGTCCTAGCAGCCCTCTGCATCTCCCTGGAAGACAGAAACTTAACTGCTTTTTATACCCAGATGTTATGTGGGTATCTCTTCTTGGCTCTGGTGCTCTGGACTATGAAGCCTGGCATGGAGTTAGGCCCCATGCTTCTCAGAGGGAACTCTCCAAAGCTGAGATACCCCTCTGGAACTTCAGCTGTAGCCTGTGGGAGCAGGGCCAGCCTTTTTCATATCTTGATCCTTCCTACCAGTCTCCATGTGGCTTCTGTAAATTCTTTGTTATGCATTTTTTCTTCTCCTAGTTTTCAGCTGGTTATTCAGGTTGCTCCATATTTCAGTTACAATTCCAGTTTGCTCCTGGGAGAATATGAATGAAACTTCTATTTAATTCAATGCTGTCATGGATCCTTCCTCTCTCCACTGCCTGCTTAGATTTAGAAGGTTGCCCAAGTTTATTACACTCCCATCTTCTTTTGGGAGTGTAATAATTTTGTCATCTCAGTGTTTCCCAGGACTTACTATAATATCTGGAAAATCCTGGCACCTGCAAAACTCTTTTGGGGATTGGCATGAGGCCTTGATAGCTTGTAGATTTCAAGACAGTCAAATATAGCTGGGGTTTGGGGTCCTCAATTTTGAGCTTTAAAAGTATGTTTTATCAAAATGAGGCCCTGTGATATCTTGAGTATACCAAGTGCTCAAGAATTGAGAGCTCTAGTTAATGGAGCGGTCTGATTACTTACTGAGCAACTGTTTTGTACAAAACACTATGCTAGATACTGTGAGGAAAAAGACCATAGGAAGCAGAAGATTTGGGCTTGTGTTTAGAGACTAAGACATGGCCTGATCATTGTTTTTATCTAACTACACTGAAGTCTTCAAGGACAAAGCCATCTCCGTATTCCCAGCCCTTGTACAGAGAGGATGAAATAATTGTAAGAATGAGTGATATGACAATATTTTCAAGTTGTTCACCTCTTCTGAAAAACAGAGTGGCCTCAAACAGTCCAATTATTTAAGGTTTAGGTTGATTGCCAGATAATGGTGGTTGGGCTGTTGTGGTATTCTCTTTCTACTTGCTCCATGGAGGGCTTATTCAGAGCCTTCAACCAAATAATTGCAAAATGCATTGAGATTATCCAATTAAATGTGCTAATTATTATTATAGTTATTGTTATTATTATTAAAGAGTATGTATATGTGATATAAAAATAGAAAGCAATGGATTTGATATTTAAAAGGGGTAAACCTAATTTGACTTTCTAAGTTAAACAATTTAGAATTGTTCCAAATGAGATCTGATGAAAGTAAGACCATATTTCAGATTAAATAGTTGGAAACACATTCCAATTCTTTTCTCAGTCTTAATAAACACATTCTTTTTGTCATGAATTGGAGGGAAGTAGAGGACAGACAAAAGAGTTTTGGAAGGAAGAGAGAGACTTATTGAGAGGAGGGTTTATTGGAAAAAAAAGGAAGACAGAGCAGAGGCTGAAAATTTGGCTCCTCTGAGGTCATCACTTAGGCTCTGGGGTGGCCAGTTTGATTTTATACTCCCTTTCTCTTCTCAGAACTATGGTTTTGACAGCAAAGAACCTGGGCTATAGGTAGAGGCCTCCCTGGGGTCTTTTTCTACCTGTAAGAATCTGCTGGCAAGATAAAATGAACATTGCAGAAATGTAGAATTCTCAAAGCAGCCTGGATACCCTGGGCTTAAAAACAAAGTTGTACAGCTTGCCTTTCATTTCTATTCCTTCTGGGAGTGGGGTTTATGGGAGTTGTTAGATAGTGGGGTGTTGGGGGAAAGGAGACTCTGAATGTATTTATTTTAGATACAGAAGACAATGTATTGCCTAATGTCAAAAGGTCAGGGTAAAAATGACAAACAAAATCTTCAATTGAGCATCCAGATGTTTACTTGTTACAACGCTAAACAGGTACACATTCTTGAAGATATAGCTGCATGGCAAAGGGTAAACGAAACATCTGGATGACAGCTTGACATGATGTTCACTTTTCATCTGGCTGCTGTGGCATCTTATGGAGCTTGCTTGAATCTTGAATGTATATAGCAAGCAAGCCTAGGAAGGAAGATTCCAAGAAGTAATGACAAAGGGAAAGCAGAGGCAATTTCTGGGCCAAATTGAAAGCTTGTACCCTATTGATCAGAAGAACTACTTTAGGTTTATAATCTATTTAAGATTTTTCATATATTCTATAATAAGGTCAAAGGAGCAGAAGAGACCTTTAGGATGACTAGAAAAAAGGCTTCACAAAGCCTCTTTTGTGGCCCCACTAGTAAGCAAAGATGGGTAAGTAGAGTTCATACTTTATTAGAGTCTTCTTATGTCCTGCTCTGCCACACTCTCTTCACTATTTTTGTATCTCTCCTCCACTACAGGCAAGTGGGCCATGGCCTGCAACCAGTAGAAATTGCAGCCTTCCAAAGAAGAAAAGCAGAAAGGCAGCTGGTGAGAAACAACCCATACAGTAATGACCAGAGAAAAACCGAGTGCAGGAGCTTGCCAAATTTTCAAAGCTAGTGCTCCCTTTGGCATGAGTGTCATTCTTAGCTTACACTCTGTTGGCAGAATGTGGTGGAATTGATGAATTTCCAAGCTTGACTGAGATATGCAAAAACTTTGTGAGGAGTGTTGCTGCAGAGTTAGCTGCATCTGAGGGAGGTCAACTGCCCTGGCCTGAGAGAGGCCCTTGCTTCCTGCACTGATAACACATTTGAATGTTAACAAGGCTGGGCTTGGTATTCAGTTATCAGGCAGGTGCACCCATCTCTTTTATTGTCAAGCATGCAGGCCACATAGTGACCTACCTCCAGTTTTGGGAGACTCACATCTATCTAAGAAACACAGCTATGTTGCCATGACTCTCTTTTTTCCTGGGATCTTTTGGTGAGACCATCTTTGAGGGGGTGCTTATGTCATTTCCTGTGGAGGCACTAACCTATCCCTTCCAAGGCTGGCATTACCAACTAAACTAATAGTGGCTACTCCTTGACTGCTTGCCTTGAATTCAGGACAATTCCCCCATCCCTCCTCTTCAACTAGAACAGTATGGTTTTGAAGCTGTAACAACAGCCTAACTATCAAGAATTCTCACATATTTATCTGTAAGGAATCCATTGCTTTCTCAGGCCCCTGTCAGTATCTCTTTTCTTCTTTATCTTGCTTTATTATTCTCTCTTTCATGGGGACTTTGACCTCAGGACCCATTGTTCCCTCTATATATCATTGGAAATCACAAGATTTTAAAGTAAACATTGGGGCATCTCCAGAAACTCCTGTTCACCCTTTTTTAAAGCATGTTCCAGAGTAATCATAATTCTACTAACAACAACCAAAGGCATCCACATGCTTACAATTTTTCCACTAGCCTCAGTTGACTTAATCAGCTTTCTATGACTCTTTCTCTCCTAGGGAAACCCAGTACATCTTCATTTCTGCAACTATCACATGTACTCTCTAAAAGTTATAACGTTTATGCTTCAGAAATGCTTCTCTATTGAGCATGTGATTCCCCTGCCATGCTGCCATGTGGGGCCTGGCTCTGTTCTTTCCTATTGACTAATACAGGAAGATAAGCAGCTAGGACACATATTAATCCAGTTGGCAGGAACATTTTTTCCTGTGGGGGAAGGAAACACACAGATACACAAAGACACACAGTCAGTCTCCATCTGAGATTCAGTCTCAGTTTTTGTCTCTTTCTGTCTCTCTCTCATATAGCAGGAAAGAGTTTGGATTCTCTTGAAGAGTTTTTCTTTTGACAGGGTAGTGCAGGCTTTGGAGGCACTGTAGAAAAACCCATCCATTTCTAAGAATGTATTAGAGTTTGCAGGAGAAAAAACTGTAGCCAACTTACCATCATTGACTGTGCTTGGCAGTACTTTCCTAGAATTACAGGTGAATGTGGCTTAGGCTGTTTAACTCACTCATATGGAGCTCCCTGACAAAAGGCAGGCTGCTGTGGGCTGTGGGTATATGCAACAGATCAAAGTCATTTGGGCCAAAAGTAGATCTGACATCAGATCCTGGTCTCATTAACACTTGTGCTTTAATCAGCATTTTAATTAACCACAGTGGCCTTGGTAGGCTGTGAAAAACACAAAAATCCTTAAGAAGAGTACTGTTGACAAATTTCAGAAAGCAGGTACTAAATCCCAGAGATCCAAGACATCTCACTTATCTCATTAAATGTCCTATGTTGATGTCACCCAGTAATACTACCTGTTTCAGAATGTTTCCTGTTTTTCAGTATGATAGATCCAGCTTAGAAAAGACCCACAATACCTGTGAGTGCCTCTCATCCACTGCCACAATAATGAAAGCTGTTAGGGGAAAACTTGGAGCTTTTACATAGCCCTGTGAAATCAGGGAAGAAGTAAAGAAGCTGTGCAAGGAAGCACAGATTTAGTAAACTGACTTCAGAGGCTGCCTCTCAGGCAGGTCTCTGTTGTCTACCTAGTAGCACCTTTGTTGTGTCCCCAAATATCTACTAATCACCAAATCTACCTAAAAGTTATCACTTCATCTGGTTACTTTCCCTAAAATTTCACCAACCAGGTTTCATTTGGGGTTGACGAGACCCCTCTTTCAATCATATATGCACCTTTTGGAGGGTAAGGGGCAATCAATCACTCATTTCATAATGAAGGTGACTAAGCTAGGTGTTTAGTAGGATAAGGAAGTTTCATTTTGAGTGAGACAAGTGAAAATGAGGAAGTTGCCAGTTTTTAGGAATGGAGGGTCATAGTGGGTAGATTGTACCACTTCAAAACATTTGCTTTGATTTTCCTTAAACCCCAAAAGTGAGAATAAGGCACCCTTTTTTCCTACTTTCACAACCCAGGACCCCTGCCAGGGATCAAATATAACTGCTCCACATGAGTTAAATCAACCTTTGTGGACTGGGCTAGAAATCTGACCACAATATACATAACACTGTTTCTATGGAGCAACACATTCCAAATACTAAATCATTGACTTATAAATGTTTTGGACATACCTTCTCAGTAAGTTGAAGACTACCTGTACATTATTAACATGCTCCACTTTTTGTTAATTTTTACAGCTTTTTAAGTAGCTTATATTCCTTGTCCAAAACAAAATGTTTAGAAAACAACTTAAAGTTTTCAAACAGAGATTTAAATTAGTTTCATCACATCTCTTGTTTTCGTATGATTTGCCTCTTCTCAAAATAGATTATTGGAAAAAGAAAGCCAGTGCTAATGAACTGCAAGTTGGGTTTTGCTTATTGAGGTTTTATATGTACTTTACAAAGGTAACTTAACAAAATGGGCATCCCATGGAGGATTGTTTAAGTCCTTTTAGACTTTTTTCTTACCTGTCTAAACAGTAATACATGTTCATTATCAAAAATTTAGAAAACACAGAAAGGCACATAAGAAATTACAATCACTCAAGTTTCTTTTAGATGCTTTATTCTATTTCATTTTTTTCTGTTTGGGTTCATATTATAGATTACTGCATGTTATTATAACATATACTCAAAGAATACCTTAAGTCAGCTGATTCTCAAATTAGTCCATTTTACTTTTATTTTATTGCTGGCAGCATTATTGATATTTTTCATGTTAGAGGATGGATCTGTTTAGATTGTAGGCAGCATTCAGTGATCCACTTGTTCCTTATTTTACTTGGTGGTTCTAAGCAGAAGGAGATAGCAGATAGCCACTGTTCTCATCAGAGGGCTGTAACTTGTTTTACTACAAACAGCTGCTACACTAAAAAGTGTTGTTCCAAGGATTCTGTCTACCTTGTCTTAGACTTAGTATGAACAACTTTATTATCAGGCTACTCATCTCATCACATTCTTGTTTTTAATCCAAATGGGATCAACTTGCAAGGAGTGGGAGGTGGCAAGCAGCCAAATACTTGGTGAACTGGGTGGTCGCATCTCTGTAACATCAAACAATTGGATGTAATTTAAGGACTCAATTGAATCAAGTAAGCATTAATTAGACAAAAGGCCACAGTGGATTGATTGTTTTGTTTTTTACTTCTTCTCTTTCTAAGCTGGTTGACTTAATCAAGTACATTTTCCATCTGGCTGATTGCTTCTGGCCCATTAAAATAATGGAATATGTGCAATAGAATCTTCTCTCACCCCTTCTCTGATCCATGCCATCTTCTCAGGTCAAGATGATTGATAAGTAGACTGCAGACATAGACATAAGCTATCTTTTGAAAAACATGATATATTTTTTATTTGTATGTTGTTTGGATATTCTGGAGTGGTTTATGAAAACCCTGCTATCTTATCTATTTTTTCAGTTTGGATTTGCTGCAGACCAAGCAATAGTAGATCTCTTTCAGAGTCACTGAAAGCAGCTGTGACTATTAATTTATATTCTGACTTTGGCTCACTGCAAATTAGAATGGCTCCAAATGCCACTACAGATTTTTCAAGGGTAACCTAATTCCAAGCAAATGAATATGCACATGGAATCATAGGGCTAGTGATATCTTGGAGACCATTAGTCCTGTCAAACTATGGAAAAAGTTATTGGGGTCCAGGAAGGAGAATCCATCTTTCTAAAGTCACCATCTAGTTAGTAGCAGTGGAACCACTCTTACCAGGCTCAAAAAGAGATCTGACTTATCAAGGACAATTCCTGACTCTGAGAAATACTTCTTAGAGTTCCTGGAATAAGACAACTAACTGTATGTATGGGCACAAGCTTGGAAGGAATACTTCGGATTGGGTTGTTTGATCTAGTTCACTGTACTGACATCACAGTCCACAGAGAGAAAAGATTCCTTGGTCACTAAATCACTTTTACCATGCAGACAGGATCTCACCCAGAGCTGTATATGTTCCTAAGTTGATCTGGCCTAAGTGGATGGAAAACAAACTTCTAATTCTGCCCAGCCCAATGGATTCACTTGTAGTTTATAGTACATGGACTTTTTTTTCTATTTATGGAACCAGTCTCAGATATATCCGAGAAGAGGCCTGACTGCAGAAAACATCTTAGGTATAATTTTACTGTGTCCATCATCCAAATAAGAAGTCCAGTGTATAGTGAGAGAAGACAGAATAGAACCAAGCCTGCAAACTTAAAAACAAGATAAGAACTCATTCTGATTACTATTGTTGACACCATCTTTCTCCTCCAGAGACATGAAATCTGAGTTGCACATAAAGTAGTGCAGCCAGTAGATTCAAATAGGCTGACCAGAGAGGGCCTTTGCTCCTCCACTCTCTGACTCCAGCTACTTCAGGGGTGATTGAGTTCATCATTAGCAGTAGTCCCAGATAAACCTCTTATGAGGATACCTTCCTATAATGAGAGATCAAAGGAAAAGCAATTGCTTGGAGCCCACTAGGAGGTTAGATGATGGAGCTGGATTCTTGGTAAGTGTCAGTAAATTAGCTTGATTGTGACATCTTCATTGTGGTTAAGAAGCAAGACCTGCTTGTTCTTTTGGGT